TGTATTCCCATTGAGTCTTAGTCTTGGAAGGGGGTTTGCTCTGAGGGGACCCGACCACTTGCCTTGATGTATCCTGGGTGAGCAACTTGCTTGTTCTTGTAGTAATCATCAGTCTGCCATCCTTGTTTTGTATTTTTCCTGTCGGTCTTTCTTTCAATAAGCATCTTCTGTTCTTCTAGCCACTCCAGGCTGGTCTGCTTGTCCTTTCCAGTGGAAATTTACCACCTCTGAAGATTCTGGATACTGTTCAGAATTCCACCTGTGGTCTTATGTAATGCAGAGGCTCTGCAGGAAGCCTCCTTCACTGGGCACATTGTAGCCCCATTTTAGGTATTCCAATTAGTTATAGGCAGAAGGCGGACTTACAAGCTTTCTGTGGTGATATTTCTGGCTATTCCTTTCTCTCCCCCTCAAGTGTCTATTTTATAATGGTATGCCAGGGAAATGAAGATTCAAAAGACAGCCAAGCATCTTAACATTATTTCCCCCTTTTCCCCATTCCAATCATGTCTCAATCCCTGTATCCCAGAGCCCTGTTGTTCCAAGGTTGCTCATGCATCATTTTTTACCTCTGTCCCACTTAGCCCATGCTAACCTGCCTAATTGTTCTCCCATCTGACTTGTTCTTCCATTCCCCTCATCCTTCTTGTATGTATATTGTTCCCCTCCCTAGCACCCAAACTATACCGTGTCTATTCCCTACCCTGTGCTTCACCTACTCCCCCCTCTCCTCACCCCACCCCCCATATCACAGTAGCCAGCAGAACCCCCTCCCCCTACTTTAGTAGGGTTCTTTTTCTTAGACTTTTACAGTAGTGGTCCTATGCAGTGTTTCTCCTTTTGTGACTGACTAATTTCATTCAACATAATATCCTCAATGTTCCTCCATGTTATGTGGTGGCTTGCAGCTTCCTTGTTATTCTTCAAGGTAGCATAATATTTCATTGTGTGTATGAACCCCAGTTTGTTTATCCATTCTTCCATTGATGGACACTTTGGCTGTCTCCATCTTTTTGCTATTGTAAATAGTGCTGTTATGAACATTGGTGTGCATATATCTACTCATGTTATGGCTTGTCTTTCTTGTGGGTAAATACCAAGTAAAGGAATTGATGGATCATAAGGTATTTCTATTTCCAACCTTCTAAGGAAGGAGCTCTGGTAGCGTAGTGGTTACGAATCGGGCTGCGAACCTTAAGGTCAGCGGTTCGAAACTACCAGTCGCTCCGCGGGAGAAAGATGAGGCTTTCTACTCCTGTAAAGATTTTCACCCTCGGAAACCCTGTACAGGGTCGCTATGGGTCGGACCCGACTCGATGGCACTTAACAACAACAACAAAAAGGAAGTGCCATATTGCTTTCCAGAGAGGTTGGACCATTTTGCAGTCCCACCAGCAATGCAGGAGTGTCCCAGTCTCTCTACATCCCCGCCACCATTTATTGTCCTCTACTTTTTTATCTTTGCTGTTGTTGCTGGTGTGAGATGATATCTCATTGTTGTTTTGATTTGTATCTCTCTAATGGCTAGTGATCGTGAACATTTCTTCATATGTTTGTTGGCTGCCCTGATCTCTTCCTTGGTGAAGTGTCTGTTCATGTCCTGTGCCCATTTTTAAATCGGGTTATTTGTCTTTTTCTTGTAGAGTTGTTGTTGTTTCCTATATATTTTAGAAATGAGTCCCTTTTCTGATGTGTCATTGCAAAATATTTTTTTCCCATTTTGTTGGTTCCCTTTTTACTCTTCTGGTGAAGTCTTTTGATGCACATAAGTTTTTAATTTTTAGTATGTCCCACTCATCTATTTTGTCTACTTTTGTTTGTGCAGTTTTCAAAATGTTTGGTAGTCTGTATATTCCCAGAATTAGTGCCCTCACATTTGTCCCTATTTTTTCACTGATGGCCTTCATAATTCTGGGATTCACATTTAGGTCTTAAATCCATGTTGAGTTGGTTTTTGTATAAAGTGTGAGGTGAAGGTCTTGTTTCATTCTTTTGCATATCGTTTTCCAGTTCTACCAGCACCATCTGTTGAAGAGACTATTACCTCCCTATGCAATATATTTAGGTGTTTTGTCAAAAATCAGTTGGCTATATGTAGATGAGTCATGATGACTTTTACTAGAACCTTGGTACAGAAGGCATGAAGACACTTGGAGGTCAAGGTGTCAGAAAGCTTCACGCAGAAAAATGGCTCACTGAGAGGAAGAGGAGTAAGAGGGTCCCTTGAGACCCCCAGTGTATTGCTATCTCTAGAGGGTGTTCAAAAGAGTATGCCGTTGCTGTTGTTGTTACGTGCTGTCAAGTCAGTTCCTACTCAGAGTGACCCTGTATAGAGTTTCTGAGGGGCAGTGGTGGGTTTGAACCACTGACCTTGTGGTTAGCAGTCCAATGCTAATCCTGCAGTGCTAATGCCATACCAGGACTTCTCAAAAGAGTATACAGTAACTGATTTTTGGTGTTTGAGGATACTTTGCTTGCTGGAAAATTGGCACAAGACTTTTAGCTACTACTTAAAAAAAAAAAAAAATTTTTTTTTTTTTTAAAAGAACATTCCTAAAAACTGAGGTGGTTTGCTGTTACTTCTGTTCTCCGGGCACTGATGTTTTTGTCTTGAATGTGTGAAGGCAGGTTTTCTGCATCTGATCCCGTCCTGGGCATTCTACAGCAGTGCCTTTCAGAAGTTCCTCCTGACTTGGTACTCAGATTATCTAAAGCAGAACGCCAACATCAAGTAGTCCTGGCAGGCCAAGCACTGGAGACCCACCAAGCTCATGGCTGTTGAGAAGACTGGAGAAGAGACCAGCCCTTTCCACCCCTTGAAGCTTGAGGGAGACCCTGTTACAGATACTTAAAATAAAAATGTTTTTGTCACTGCTCCTGAAGTCTGATGATTCTATGGGAAAGCTGCAATGTAAAAACATGTGTGCATAGAATTACCATAAACCCCCAAACTACTGCCAACTCATTTGTTGTTGTTGAGTGCCATCGAGTTGGTTCTGATCCATAGCGACCCTGTATAAGGTTTCTGAGGAGCGGCTGGTGAACTTGAAATGCCGACCTTGTGATTCAAATTGATTTTGCAGCCCAGCACATTAACCCACAGTGCCACACTCACAGTGATCCCATATTGTCATTGTTAAGTGCTGTCGAGTCAGTTCCAACTCATAGAAATTTTGTATAGTGTTTCTGAGGAGCAACTGGTGGGTTTGAACTGCTGACCTGTAGTTTGCAGTCCAGCGTTGATCCTACAGTACTACATACACCAGGAGTTCCTAATTTGTTGTTGTTGTTGATAAATGCCATTAAAGTCCTTATGGTGGTGGTGGTTATGTGCTGTGGAGTCGGTTCTGACAAAGCCTCATCTTTCTCCCATGGAAAAGCTGGTAGTTTCGAACTGCTGACCTTGAGGTTCACAGCCCAATTTGTAACCACTACACTACCAGAGCTCCTTTAAAGTCCCTATAGGGCAGAGTAAATCTTTATGGAAGCAGACTGCCACATCTTTCTTCCATAGAAGAGCTAGTAGGTTCAACTTTATGGTTCTTTAGCCATTTTGTCACCAGGGTCTCGGAATTAGCATTGTTGTTGCTGTTATTAAGTGCTGTTGAGTCAGTTTAGACTCATAGCGACCCTGTATAGGGGGTTCCAAGGAGCAGCTGGTGAGTTTGAACCACCGACCTCATGGTTCAAACAGATTTTATGGCCCGGTCCAGTACTTTATCCCACAGTGCTATACCAGGACTTCTCAGAATTAGCATATTACTAGACAATTTCACTTCTAGGGACAAATCTAAAAGACTTGAAAGCAGGGACTCAAACAGCCTGTGCACCAGTGTTCATTACAGTTATTCACACCAGCAGAAAGGTAGAAATGATCCAAGTGTTCATCAACATTGAATGAATAAACAAAATGTGGTCTAGCCATACAATGGACTATTACTCACACAATGGGAAGCTCATTGATGTAATATACAATATAAGTCACCTGGGAAACCAAATAGGGTAGGAAAAGAGAGACAGTGGATTTGGAGGGATACGCGGAAGAAATCCACTTTGTTTTGTTGTTAAGTAGTTGAGTAGATTCCGACTCTTAGCGACCCTGTACAGCGTTTCTGAGGAGGAGCTGGTGGATTTGAACTGCTGATCGTGTGGCTCTCAGTCCAGTGCTTACCCTACAGCATCACACCTGGAATCCAGGATCCAGTCTGTTGTTGTTGCAAGTTGCTGTTGAGTGGGTTTCGACTCATAGTGACCCTGTAATGGTTTGAACTACCAACCTTGAGGTTCAAACCCACCTTGCAGTCCAGGGCATTATCCTGCAATGCCACACAACCCACATATTAAGTTAATAATATAGTTCCTGAGTTGGGATACTGGGCTTTTCCTGTACATTTCTTTGTATTCCACTCTATGTTCCCAGCATGATAGAAATGTTGCCAAACCAAAATGAGGGCTTGATGCCTGTCACTGTAGTCAATCATAGAGATGGGGAGAGATCCAATCCAAGCCAGCAGAATGGAGGATGGAGAGAATAATTTCTCAAGACCATCCTGTCCATTATGAAGAATGGGCACATTATATAGGGTAAGTTACATGTAGATGTACACTTAATCTATTTTAAAAATCAAGATAGCATTTTTTGGAAAAAGAAACAATAAAGCAATAAACTTCTTCAAACATTCTACCTTTAGGGAAAAGGAAAAAATCAGGCAATGATCCTTCTCAAACATTCCACCTTTTAGAATCCAAGCTGCTTAGTTCCTGAGATAACTATCTGGATGGGCTAAAGCACATCCTGTTCTCCTTCTAGGACCATGAGATCATCTTGGCTAATTTTTAAACTACCTTCCTCATTTGCAGGATCTTCATTTATCAAGACCTAATGACTAAACCAACTCTATTTTGTTTAGGTCAGTAGATCTATGCTATCAAAACTAAGCCAAGTATTTCATTGTAGAATTCAAGATTTCAGCAAAGTGAGGAGGTATTTTGAAGTGATTAAAACTATACAGGTTCGCTGAGTCAGAACCAACTTGACAGCACTTAACAACAACAGCGAAGTCTAATTAGTTAAATGTGAGGCAATCCTGCTTCTAGCTGTCCCAGTTACAATTTCTGTGTAATAAGTAATGACCATTTTATTATATTCAGAGTTTTTGTGGGTCAGAAATTGGAAAGGGCATAGCAGAGATGGTTTATTTAGCTCCATGATATCTGAGGGCTCAGCTAAACAGATTCAAAGGCTGGAGGTGATTTAGCCTCTGAGGCTAAAATCATCTACAGGTTTGCTCACTTACATGCTTGGCAATTGATGGCTGTTGTTGGTTAGGGTCCCAGTGGGTACTGTTAACTGGATCACCTATTCAGGGCCTTGTTAAGAAGCTGCTTGATCTTCCTCATAATATGGCAGCTGGATTTCAAGAGTGAGCAGCCTATAGAAAACTAGAAGGAAGCTGTGTTGTATAGTTAGACTTAGCCTTTAAAACCACATAGCAGTATTTACAAGCCCTCCCAGGTTCAATGGGAAGGAACACAAATTCCACCTCTCTATGGAAGGAGTCCTGGTGTAATGCTGTGTGTTAATGTGCCAGACTGCAAAGCCATTTGAATTGCAAGATCAGCGATTCAAGCTCACCAGCTGCTCCTCAGAAACCCTGTACAGGTCACTATGGGTCAGAACCGACTCAACAGCGCTTAACAACAACAACAACAAATTGAAGGAGGATCAAATGTAATAGAAGATCATTATTGTGCAAAATACAATGTGCCATTTGATTTCATCTTTGTGCAATGTTTGTCCTGGCATATATACATTTTGGTGAATGACTTAACATTTCAACAGTTGTTGTAGTTAGGTACCATCAAGTCAGCTCTGACTCCTAGCAATCTGCATCATCCTCACAATTGTTACCTTTGAGCCCATTGCTACTGCCACTGTGTCAATTCATCTACTTGATGGTGGTGGGATCTTCAAGCAGTTAGGGATCCAAAAACTTGCAAAATGGTAGCCATTTTATTTCTAGGAAACTTCACTTCAAACTCTGATAAATTCATCTTTGGGGAAGAACTCCCACAACCAGCATTACAATCTACACAGCTTAGTCAGATTTTTAGAGATGACGTTTAATTTTGCAGTATAGGGTTTTTTCCCCACTGTGTTAATCTTGAGTTGATTTTATTGATTAAATACAACAAGCTTTTTCAGTATCTGAGGCAAGAGAGAATTCCTCATAGTAAAGGCCTTATAACATTGGACTAGCTTATAAAAGTAAAGGTAGACAAGCTCTATATTTTAGGATCTTTATCCCTATCACCACTAATGCTAGATGATAGCTAATATTTGTTGAGCATTAATAATGTGCTGGAGTCTCTAGGTGATGTAAATGGTTAACATGCTTGCCTGTTAACTGAAATCCATTGGAGTTTATCCAGAGAAGCCTTGGAAGAAAGGCCTGGTGATCTACTTTCAAAAATTCAGTCATTGAAAACCCTTTAGGACACAGTTCTATGCTGCACACACATTGGACCACCATGAGTTGGAGTGGGCTTGACAGCAATTGGTTAATAATGTGCTAACCAATTGTCATCAAGCTGATTTCAGTTGATGATGAGCCTTTGTTTCAGAATAGAACTGTGTTCCATAGAACTCTGGTGGTGCAGTGATTAAGCGTTCAGCTGCTAACCACCAGGTAAGTGGTTCAAACTGACCAGCTGCTCTGCAGGAGAAAGATGTGGCAGTATGCTTTTGTAAAGATCACAGCCTTGGGAACACTATGGGGGCAGTTCTACTGCCTATAGGGCCCCTAAAGGGTTATTAGGAGCTGTAATCAACTTGACAGTGATGGGGTTTGGTTTTCCATGGCTGTGCCCTTCAGAAAGCCAATATCAGGCCTTTCTTCCCAGGTGCCTCTGGGTGGATATGAACCTCTAACCTTTTGGTTAGTAACTGCGCACTTAAACATTGGCACTACCCAGGGTCCTAATAATGTGATTGTTGTTATTAAGTACTATGGAGTCAGTTCCAACTCATAGTGACCCTGCACAGGGTTTCTGAGGCGGTAAATCTTTACGGGAGCGGAATGCCTCATCTTTCTACCGCGGAACTGCTGGTAGTTTCGAACTGCTGACCTTGAGATTGGCAGCCCGATTTGTAACCACTATGCTATGCAGAAGGAAACTTCTGCACTCACCGTGGGGCTCGAACCCACAACCCTGGGATTAAGAGTCCCATGCTCTACCAACTGAGCTAGCTGGGCTCAAGCAAATAATGTGATAGAGACCATGTAAATCTTCATAACAACCTAGGAATTAATTATTAATTATTAGCTTTTTTTTACAGATAAAAAAAAATGAGGTACAGAAAAGGTAAGTAACTTACGCGGATGCACATGACCAGAGAGTGAAAGAGTTAGGATTTGAACCTAGGTCATCTTCCAGAATCCCTAGGTGAAAACCCTGCGGCTGAGCCCTTACTGGCTAGGATAAAGCCATTTATCAGCTGGAACTTTGTATTCTACCTTTCATCATGGAGAAATGCAAGGGCATTAGGCTTCTGCTACCAGGCCCTCGACTCTCAATTTCAACACTGACCATTTTCCAAAGTTACCATCGTCTGGGAATCATTTACGAAGAGTGAAGCTTGCCAAAGTCTCACTGTGCTTTTGTTACTGCTAAAGATAGCTGGGCTTTTGTTTCTCTCTCGCCTGATTTTCTTATCAGTGTTGGGAGGGCTCTG